AAGATGTGCTATATTTATGGGATAAAGTGCTCAATATCAGAGATATAGCCTGTGTAAATATAAAAGTGAACATAGAAGTCAACACTTAGAGGCGGCAGTTTTTTTCATGCTCTCTCTCTCTCTCTCTCTCTCTCTCTCTCTCTCTCTATATATATATATATATATATATATATATATTTGTGTATTTAGGCAGCAAATTTTCTTTTAGGCATGTCTGACTGAATACATTACAGATATTATGTCTGCTAATTTTTAACAAAATCCGTTCATACTCACGAATAGACCCCCGTGTAGTTAAAAGGATGTTAAAGGATGAAAGAAATGTGCTATAGTTATTTAAATTTCTTTTATTTTCATTTCCCAAGTACTTTCGATCTTCTTCCAAGATCATCTTCAGTGGTGCAAGTAGTACAAAACTATATGTTGTTCATTAGTACAATTATTTATACAAAGTTCTGCGTTGTTATCCATTAGCGTAATTTTTTCATTATGCTTTTAAATGCAAAAATAAGAAGTATTATTTGAAATATATGTGCTCTTCGACAGGATTCGAACCTGCGTTTTCCTAGGAGAAACCGTCATTAGATCTGATGTGCTTTGACCGCTCGGTCGTGTTTTGATTTTTCGCATATTCATGCCGGTCGATGGAAATAAATAAATATACTGTTTAATGAATAAATAAATAAACAGATCATTATGGGTTTCCATTAAAAATAAAGTCTAAGCAATATATATATATATATATATATATATATATATATATATATATATATATATATATATATATATATATATATATATATATATCCTTTCATACTCACGTACAAGCATTGTTGTTTCATGATTAAAGAGAGCAATGAAGGTACCATTGTTGTAATTATTTTTTATTTATCCGAATACTTTCAATATATTTGAACACCGTCTTTATGGTTTTGAAGGTTTAGACAAATAATTATGTTTGCCCGAAGTAAAATTTTTTTTTTTTTTTTTTTTTTTGAATGAGTTTGCTTTAGCACGATATTAAATATTGTATAATTGCCATTTTTTAATATTTAGGACATTCACGCTTTAATTCCCCAATAACGTAATAAGCAAAAACTATAAATTCTCAAAGCTAAAAAAAATTTAAAAATTTAAAAATTAAAACCAACACTTAACAAAATTAATTATGAATATCGTACAAATGTTCTGAAAATGTTTATATTATATCGTTCCTTAACAATATCTATGTTAAAACTAAACTTTAAAAAAAAAAAAAAAAAATAAAATAACAAGCAAACTATAATCTCCTAACAAGAATTCAATTACCTCCCTTACATTAAAATTCTTATAACATGGAACATTTTTTAAATCACCGTTTTTTACTTTGCGTATGACCGGAACTGTTAACTACAAAAGCAAAAATTTACTTCGGACAAACACAATTATTTGTGTTAACCATCATAACCTGAAGATGATATTGGAATATATCGAAAGTACTCAGGAAAACAAAAATGAATATATATATATATATATATATATATATATATATATATATATATATATATATATATATATACATACACATATACACACGCCTGTCTCGTATGTTGAGCACTTTGGAAGAAAAGGAATTCGTCGGTTGCTGGTAATTAACGCTAAAAGCTCTTCACTATGAACTGAGCACTCTGGTAACTGGGAATGCTTATATATCGTATATAATGCGTTAAAAATTCCCTTTTCTATTGCGCCGATAGCCTTGGGTTAAGAGTTTCCGACTGATGTCAAATCAGTCGGGTTTCGATCCTGGCTTGAAGCAATCGTATGACTAGCCACCCTGATTAGCTGTGATACAGCGAAACCGTCTGTCTGTGGATGACTATATATATATATATATATATATATATATATATATATATATATATATATATATATACCTGTAGATAACAGTGTTAAATTAAATCGAATATAAAACAGGTGTAAAAGATTATAACTTATTCAAAATTTGTTTTTAAGATGTTGAAAACTTATTCTTAATCTATTTTGAGTAGGCACCTCCGCTTTTTGCGGGAAATCAGATAGCGTAATGAAAAAGGCCACAAACTTACTAAAAATAAAGTTTTATCGTCAAAATGTTTAGGCTATTATTAAGATGAAAGACCAAAGTATTTTTTAATTACATTTTTAAATTTTTTAATTGTTTCTAACACGTTCGAAATTTTGGTTAAGATCTTTTGTTTACGTCATCGCAGTGGCTAACAAATAACGACGTTTTTGCGCTTTTTTTTCAGTTGAAAACACATTGATTTGGAAATTCTTGTAAAAAATCAAATAATTGTCCGATTTTAATGAAATTTTTAGGACTTATTCACAAATGAATGAAATTATTTTTGAAATGTTTTTTTTAGAAAATTTTGGTAAAAAAAATATATTTTTTTAATCAGCTACTTTTTTCTTCAAATTTGAGCTATTCTAACTGAAAATCTGCTCTGAATTGAAAAATAATGAATCCAATAAAACTATGACATTACTTAATTAGAAAAGTTTTTAATAGCTTTTGTAAATAAGTTATATTAAGGATATTACTGTCTGTAAAAATAACATTTTTCTGGTGAATAATGAATTTTTACAAGAATTTTTTCATTTTTTAAAAAATTTAATTATAATAATTTCTAATAGTTGAAAATCGTGCAAAATTCTGTATTAGGCTATTTCCTGGATGAGATATAGTAATTAAGTGGAAACAAAATTTATACATCCAAAATTGAAAAGATTAATCAACTTAATTGTGCTATTCTATTTTTAAAATATTTTCTTATTTCGTATTTTTTTTTACTTAATACGTTCATTATTTTCATGTATGGTAGACTGAAATTGCTATTATTATTATAATCTAAAAGTTTTGTCCCTTTATTATGTCACTTCAGTTGCGTTTCAACAGGTTTTCAAAATTTCTATCCAGCTTGAAAAGTTTAAAGCTTAAACTAAGTTTTACTTTTTTCCATTACTATTTTGCTAAATATTTTTATTTTATGTATTTACATTAGTGTGGGACATACTTCAATTGAATAATCATGTTATTTCATTTGTTATTAAATTAATGGAAGAAATTTTTATAGTATTTTAATTATTTTTATTCTACGAAATGTAAATAAAATTTAATAAAATATTAAATAATTGGGGAAAAATGTTCATTTGCAAACATTACTAGGTAGTTAAACACCCTCCCCCCCGAAAAATGCGTTCACTTAGATTTCTGACAATTCGGTCATCCATAGTAGCTGTCATCGCTTCGTCTATCATCAGTCCAACAAACGTTGAATCACATGAATAGGACCAATCGTTAATAATTGGTTGTATATTATTTTTTTATGCTATAAGTAAGTAATATTTATTTCAAATCAGATTAATTTAACTTTAAATTTTCTAATTTTACTAAACTAACGTGTCAGAAATATATATTTATTTTTTGAAACAATTATAAAATAGAAAAATTTGGTTTGTTTACAAATTTCTTAAAATTAAGAAAATGGCCGCTTTTAAGAAAATTTTAAGAAATCGAAATTGAATTTGACATTCCAATCTATATAATTTCTATCTAAAATACACCAGAATATTTTACTTAATGGAAATAATAAATTTAATTAGTAAACTTTTAATTAAAGCTAAAGTGAAATATTCAAGAAAGATTTTTCATTTTTAAAATTTAATTTTAAACATTAAGTATAAAAAATTTAAGCCCCAAAAGTGGAGGTCCCTAGTTTTGAGTGATATGCATATCAGCAGCTGATTTAAAAAATGATTTACTTTTTGTTGCTAACTGGAGGCAAGGAATCGCCTGTTAATTGTAACACCTCCAAAATAAAACTGCTTTCTTTTAATCGTCTTGAGGTACTCTTTCTCCCTTCCATCTACATGGCTGATGCTAACCTTCAGGAGAATGATTCATTGCTCCTTCTCGGACGAACGTTTTCCGCTGAAAAATTATATTGAATTATATGGAAATATTATATTGAATTAATCGCTAGGGTCTTTTATTAGAAATATTAATTCCTTGTGTCTTTCTAGACAATTTGTCTCGTCAGAATCTATCATACTTTTTTGTTTGTTTTTTGTTATAATTCTACCATTCATCCTTGCTACATATATTGCTGCCACATTCGGTCTGTTGCTCCTGCTATATATTTAGAGATTCTTGATAACACCTAAAGAATAATCTGCAATGTTATTGGTTCTGACCTGGCATCTCAGTTTCAGTTCCTTTCCCACAGCCATAACATAGCTTCCCTGTGCCGTTCATGGTAATTGTTCTGATTAACTTTCCTCTATGGTACCTAGACTTTATGAATTTAAGCGCAGTACTAGATTGGCTGCAAGGTCTCATCATTTTACAGTTGAAATGGCTGGATGTAATCGCATGTTCTATGAATTATTTCTCTCTCACTTCACGCTTGTGGAACTCTTTTTTAGCTTCTTGCTTCCCAGTCTAGTTTGATTTTCAAAAATTGAAATGCAATGTCAATCGTTAACATCCGTTTTCTTAATTCTTGTTCTTTTATTGTTTTCTTTTTCTTAATAGTGTTTTTTTTTCTTATATTCTCTAAATAACCCCTTTGAGTCTTAGTGGCTTCATTGCCTTACTTGGGGTGAAATGATTTAAAAAAACTATTGTGTTTAGGAAAACTAAAAGGAAAAATAAAATAGGTAGGAAAATCATAAATTTGTAGTTCCGAAAACATTGAAACCAATTCCTTTTGAGAAGAATCTATCTAACGCTTTTCTTCTTTTTTTTCCTCTTCAAATTCTGAGCATCTAAGATCATTATTAGTCATTCGCCAGATCTACATTCATCTGTCAAGATCTGGATCTAAATTCCATTCTTCAGAAATGTTAAAAATTGCTTTTGGAGCTGTTGCAAATTCATTCTGGAGTATCTTTTTCCTCCATTCATCCTTTCATTCCTATGCGTGCATTTGGTCACCGTTAAGTGTGATTCAATCTTTTGATGCTTTTTAATCAAGGACAGTTTCTTTTTCTTCTTTTGCAACGATTTTTCCTTGGCCATCCGCTTCCAAAGTAAATCTGTTTAATCAATTTTCAGGATCTGCTTGTCATCAAACCTTTTCTCGAAAAGCTTTTGAAAATTCTATTAAGTGTTTTGCTGATTATTAATGCTGACAGATTTCCGTTTGAATTCTAACCCTGCGAAATTTTTTACATTTTCTTGAACCGTTCGATAAAAATTATTTCTACTATCGCTTCATATTCTTATTGCAAAACCGAAAAGAGGCAGAATGTTTTTGTTTTAATTTTATAGCTATTAGCGAAATGTGCTTCTATAGATATTAACGAAATGTGGTTCTAATAACAAGCCTTGCGCCATATTACTAATAATCGTTCGATTTCAATCATTTTCGAATTTCAAGTTGATTGTATAATAGAGAAAAATGAAGCACCTCTTTTTTATCTTTTTATCAACAGCTTTCTTTAAAATGGTTCGAATCATTGATTCGTTTAATTTAAATAAGGGCCCTATCTCTGTTTTTACTTTCTCCTCTCCAGTGTATCTTTTAATTATTTCAATATTCTTATAGCATTTGAACCTTTTTTTTTTTTAAAAAAACAAGCCTTCTCACCTTCTCATATTTATTTCCGTTCGTATCCATTGCTGTCTAACCGGGAAAATATTATTAATTAAAAACTAAATAGTGTGGGTTATTAACAGAAGGAAGAGTAACATATCCATCCTCTGCTGCTGCTGCTGCTGCTGCTGCTGGGCAAATTAAACAAAGCGCCCGTAAAATCGTGACACGTGTCTTGGTGTTAAGATGCTGCTTGCCTGAAGTCGCTATGCAAACGGCATACACGCTAAATTCGAAATTTAATGTTTCCCATGTTGAGTAGAATTGATTCGTGATAAATAGAGATTGCATTTAATAAAGTGTGTCAATTCGATAACAGTGCTAATTTAAACCGTGTTAAACAAGAAAATTCTATATATGCTGCACAATTCCGAATTGGATATAAACTAAACTTCTCAGAAGTTCTGTCTATATTTCTGAGATGATGTATTATGATTACTTACATTATTTACATTATTCGGACTGATATCCTCATCTTCATTGCTATATTCACAACGCTTCGGCCGTTCTACGCTCCAGACTTCTTCAACTGAATGAAATTTCGAACCGAACCCTTTATTTCGTCCACCCGGGTAGATTGTCCTAGTTCCACGTGCCATGCCTCTTCCGGATGTCTCAGTTATTTTCTTTTACCTAAAATCTCCAAGTTTTGGTTCACCACTGCAGTGGCCTGGTATTGAACTCGCAACTCTTTGGGTCTAGTCACTGGAGTGGAACGATAACGGTTAACTCTAGACTTGCACAGGTTAAGATTGTAGTAATCGGGGAAATATTCTGTTGGTCAGTAGTTTGTGGGAAGAAGCTAATTGAACTTTCTTTTCGCCAATGAAATACAGAGATGGTGTTGGTGATTTGCTACTACGTAAGTGCCATGGTTGGGCCTCGCCGTGAAGTTTAGACCAAGGAATGTCGTTAGTCCGAGCACTTTCTATGGTAGTAAATTGCTAGGTCTTCTGCTAGAAAGGTTGGTTCACTGTGTCGTGCTTGACAATTTTTCTCGCCAGAACCCATCTTGCACGTTTAGAAAATCTGTCATTCGTCCAAGCATCGATTATTATTGCCACATTTGGGCTGGTGCACCTCTATATATTTTTAGATTCTTGACAAAACCCAAGAAAAGGTTTTTAATGTTATTGGTCCTGACCTGGCATCTCAACTTCAGTCGTACTATTCGGATTTTGAAGGAACATCGTCTGACATTAATATACTCTTTAAATTAAATTCTTTTATGCCACTCAGAAAATGACTTGTTTAAGAATTTTAAATAATTATCTGCATTTATCTTGATGCCATCATCACATTTGAAAGGGCTTATAATTTTATTGCTTAGAATACTACCCCAAAACCTTACGCCATCCCCACTGTTATATTCTAACTTATGTTGTTTTGTTTTCTGTGAGGGTCTCAGTGAATAGGGAAGCCATCAAATCCTTCCTTACAGCTGCATTTAAATACTGAAAAATCATCTTTTACACGTTTCTCTTTCTGATGTTTACCTAAAGATGATAGTTTGATTCCTTTTATATCTTTAGCCAGTGGTCTTAATATTCTGCGTTTTCTCTCTCTGTTTACATTTGCAACACTATATATAACAGTATAGCTATTGTGCTTATTTTAGATTTATAAAGATTGCCATTAGCTGTAAGAAAGATATAATCTCAAAAGAGGAACAAGATATTGTAAAAAAGAAGAAAAAGGTAGCTTTATGAATACCACAGAAAAGATATTTGAGAAAAATTAAATGAGTTAAGTGGACTGATCAGCAAGAGAATAATTGAGGAAGTTCCTCAACTATTCTCTTGCTGATCAGTTTCCCCCCAAAATTCAGTTTTATTCTCATGATCCCGAACAAATTTTAAACAAGCATCCCTATGTTTCTTCAATAGTCATGGAGTTTTTCTCGGAGGACGCGATCTTAGTTGATTTCTATGAAATTCATTCCTTATTGTTCGCTTCGTAACAATAATACCTGATGTTTTTAATTCTTCCTGCATTTCTCTCCGAGTAGTCATTGGATTTTCTTGAATTTTGCAATGAATTCTTCTCATTGATCTGGGAGAAGTCTTGCGTTGATTACCAGATCTCGATGTGTTTTCAACAGTTTTCATCTTTTTATACTTAGCAATAACGGAATTAATATTAATAAATGGTATATTCAGGATATCTGCTATTTTCCTATAGATTTTTACCTTCCTTCTAATGTTTGATCATCAATTCCTTTTATGAATTTGATAGTTCCTTGCCTTTCCCCATGATGATAATTATATATACGATTTGTGTGCGGAGATAACCTTATATAAGAAATGAATTGCAGAAGGTTCTAGATTGTTCCGGTAACAAGATAATTGGGAGAATCTGGCAAAATCTTACAAAGAATTACGTAAATAAAGGTAATTTAAGCCTTTTGATATTAAAGACATATTTTGTACGAATACTTTTTTCGCCTCGAAATTTTATAAATAACACATAATTTCATTTACAACAAAGTTTCGTTATAAATTTTTGCATATTGCAGCATTATGCAATAGTGTAGAAATATTGTATGGATTTGAAGTTTTTTTCATAGGTTATAACTATGTTAATTAAAAAAAAAAATCATGGTGTACGAATATTTATTCCCCCCCCCCCACACTGTATGTAATTAAGTTAGATGCACATATAGACAGTGTCGTCTAGACAGGTGTGCCGGACATGTATATGTATAAGTGTCTCATCAATTCCAATATTTCTGTCTTTTAGTCAATCTGAACTTATTTATTTCAGTGTCAAAATTCCTCTTGTAAGATTTGGCAAAAGAACTCTTGATTCTCTGTAATAACTGTCATCGTTAAATTGTACGCACGAGTGAGATTTTTTTGTGCATTTTATATAGAAGAATTTGTTGTGGGCTTTCTTCTATTATTCCTTCGTATTCTTCATCCCCCTTTCCTCTTTCACCTTCTCTATCTTCTTCCTCCTTTTCTTTTGTTCTCCATGTCCCCCATCTTCCTCTCCTCCACCTTCTCCTCCTCCACCACCTTCTTCTTCTTCTTCTTCTTCTTCTTCTTCTTCTTCTTCTTCTTCTTCTTCTATTCCACCTATTGTTCATATTTCTATTCTAACCTTCCTCTCCTCCTTCACTTCCTCTTTCTTCTTACTCCTTTTCTTCTTCTTTTCTTCTTACTCCTTTTCTTCCTCTTTTCTTCTCCCTTTTCTTCTTCTTCCTCTCCTACTCTATATTCTTCTTAATCAATTCACTCTCTTGCTTACCCTGTTCATACTTCGCCTCTCTGCTTTCATTTCTTACTTTATCGTCGTATATCTGTCTCCAACCTCCTTTTTTTTCTTCTTTCACAAAATCCTGATCCCACTTTCGAATCTGCCCAATCGCTACTTCTATGGAAAATACGCGGACGAACTACATCTCTTGATTCCGCTAGGTCTTACCTTTACGGCTAGGACCCACCATGACACTCATTGTAGCAAACCACCTACATTCCCTCCGCATTCCATCGGTGAGAACTAAGTTCCACTTGAACAGCTTCTTCCCAAGAACGGCTGCACTATGGAACAAACTCACAAAGGATGTTTCCCTTATCACTATTATCTTAACCTGTTCAAGTCTAGAATTAATCGTTATCTCCCCCTTCTATCCATATAAACTGTCCCTTAACGTAACCCTCTACCTCGAGTGGCCCCCGAGCCTTGTACAGGTGAACCTTACTGTAAGAAAAATATAAAAAAACCCAAAAAACATTGATGTACGTGCTACTATAAGTGCTATTGATTTAAAGAGAACCACTAATTACGTGCAAAATGATGTCATTCACTATATCATCGGCACCCGCTCGAATTCGTGCATCGAGGTCGTCATGCCCCCCCTTAAAATCCCTGTCTCCCCTCAGGAGATGGCTGTGAAGACCCAGCCTTCTCCTGAAGAATCATAAACTGGAGTCGCAGAGGAGTGCGTGTGGTAGACCAGGTTGAAGTTGCCGGTCCTCCTGACAGCATTTCGCTATCCTCTTCATGTTGACGGTTGGACTCGAAATTCTTGATCCTCCTTCGGACGATCCTACCCAGGAAGACCGATTTAAAGCACTGGTTTCCCAGGTCTTAGGCTCGATATACGTGTGTATTTACGTAGAACGAACGGATTCACATACCATTTTTAAAGTTTACACCTGATTATGATATATGGCGGAAATTGGGCCCGTAAACCTTGTATTAATGTTATTTTAACGCCCATAACAATTTGTGCATTGGAGTGTGAAAACCATAATTGTATCCGTGTGACTGCATACGAGCAAAGTGTTAGAATGCAGATGAGTTTGTCTTATATTGTGTTTCACGTTTTATATATTATCACGACTTAATGCATACGTTCAGATATATAGCGAACAATAATAGAACGATGCTATATAAAAGTAAGAATTAGATGAACATTCTACCCTCGGAGATTAAATAAAGGGTACAGTTCGAAATTCCCTGTAGGTTACCCACCGGCTGAAACGTCGTGATAAAAACAACAACAATGAGGACAATAGTCTGAATATAAATAAGGCAAATAATGAGAACGCTAATAAATCCAGGCAAAAACGAAAGTAATAGATAATTATAAATAAAATAAAATTAAAAATCAATCATTCAATCAATAAAGTCTATGAATAAATATATAATTATAAACATGGATAAATATACATGATTAAAAAATAGAACATGCAGGGTGCGATGGATAAATTGTCGTCTAAATGCCGCAAAAATGAGAATAACACTGACATCTCATTTTAACAGATATATTTATCAAAATTACACAAAAATATTTTGAAATACTAAAGAGTAAATTTATTCAGTAAAATCGCCATTAGATTTAAACACGGCCTCCAACCAAGTTCGAAATCTCCTGCAGCTCTTCTTGTTTAAGTTGGTGAATGCGGCCATAATCCTTGCCTTCAGTTCATCTTTGGTGTTACAAGGAGTTTTGCTAGTTTCTCGCTCAACTCTGCCTCACACAAAATAATCAAGGGGGTTGAAGTCTAGGGAGTAATCAGCAACAGTAATCAAAACATGGACAGCAAGTAGCAGCTGCAGTGGCAGCAGCAGCCTAATCAGTGGAGGTTAGGTTTAAAGATCTCGGTTTATTCCAGCAGCGGGTAAAAGCATTAGTGAATCTGATGACATAGTTGTTAGGAGTTCAATCCCGGGATACGGCCGTATGTACTTGCACTTCAGTGGAAACAGGCGAGCAATAACAAAACGGTGGTATATAAAAGTAAGAACAAGATGATATCCCTAGACATGAACAGTGTAACGAGAACATGTTACCCTCGGAGATTAAATAAAGGGTAGAGTTCGAAATTCCCTGTAGGTTACCCACCGGTTGAAAGATACAGGGTGCGATGAATAAATTATTGTCTAAATGACGTAAAAATGAAAATAACACTGACATCTCACTCTAAAAGATATATTTACCAAAATTACACAAAAATATCTTGAAATAATAAAGAGTACATTTGTTCTATAAAATCATCATTAGCTTCAACCACAACCCCCAGACGACTTCGGAATCTCCTGCACCTCTTTTAGACGGTCTCCATGTTTAAGTTGGTGAATGCTGTCATGATTCTTGCCTTCAATTCATCTTTGGTGTTTCGAGTTTTGTTGGTCTCTCGTTCACACTTAATAATCAAGGGGAATGAAATCTGGGGAGTTAGGTGGCCAGATGTAAATGGTGATGGGGTCGCAGAAATTGCCTGACAGTCATACCTAAGTTTTCCTGCTGGTGTGGTATGGTGCAGAATCCTGTTGTCACACATAGTCTTCCAGCAGCCACCCTCTTGACCCAGGGGAGTACCACCTTCTCAAGGCACTTGTTGTAGACTTCTGTGTTGAGTCTAGGAAGATGAATGCAGGCATAACGTTGCCATCACTAGTAATCAGCATTAGACTCATCCAACTCTTTCCGAATCCTCTGCACTCTCCTCAGATTGACACCCAAACTCTCTGAAATGTTCGTATTGGGGCTTCCGGTGCAAATGCCAAACAGTACAGCAAGCCGTTTCCAAAATTCTTACGGAGTGAATTGCGTCATGGTGCACTTTTTCTCACAAACGGTGCCCAACTGACCCTACTATACTGTGCAGTCGACAAAATCAAAAACAAACAACGCGCATGCGCAAAATTAAAAATATAAGATGTCGACAATTTACCCATCACACCCTGTACTTTTGTGTATAGATGCGTGCATACTTGTGAGGTTTTTTTGTCTTATCTTTCAAGCAGTTGTTGTTCTTCCCAATTTATTAAATGATTTCTTTCCTTTCATATAATATCCTCTTCTTAAAAACATTTTTATATAAAATATCAGCCAATAAAAAGCTCGAGAGTCACTCAAGGTAGAGAGATATTGTTAAAAGGGTAATGGTGTGTGGGATATAAACGAAAGAGGAGGTGATAGGACGAGAATATTATGAGGACAGCGAAGATAGACTGGAATTGACTCTTGACTTGAAATAGTTAAAATTATCGTGTTTAGGGAAGCACCTCTTCCAGAAAATAGCAATTCTTGAGAAAAATGCTCCTTGAGCGGAACTATCTCTTTACATTCAGAATACGGGAGAGAGGAGGTTGTTTTGACACCGTAGAGGTGGCATCATGTGTGTCCTAGCTGTAAAGGCATGAATTGATGGAATTAATGAATTGAACCAATCTGAACATATGCTCCTCACACACAAACTCTCTAAGAGATACACAAGTACGTATTTTGTAGCGTAATGAAAGCTTTAATTCTATATGATAAAGAACAACATTTTTATTATTTTCTTTTTTAAAAATTTTCAGTAAAGTTTGAATTTGCTAAAATTTCATTAGAAACAGAAAAGAATGCTTAACTATTATATAATATCAATCTTCCTATATGACAGTGAATGTTGTACAACTTCCAAATTCGGTAAATAAAAGACTTGGGCCAACAGAAATGTCGTCCTACGGAAGGGTACGGAGAATATCATGGACGGAACGTGGAATATTTAAGGAAAGCGGAAAGAAAAAGTCACTTATATTTGAATCAGAAAGAGGCTCTTGAAGTTCCATGGACACATAATGATGAAAGAAGGCTCGGAAAATTTGAAACTCACAGGACGTATCAAAGAGAAAAAAGAAGAGGAACCAACAAATAACCAATTTAATGAGCTTGTGTAAATAGGTGACAGAATAAGGACTGCAAGCGGAAAGACCATGATCTACCACGTCCTGAATGGACACGGCACGAAGATGAAGAAGAAGGAGAAAAAAGAAGAAGAAAAAGAAAAAGAAGAAGAAGAAGAAAATAAAAATAGAAGAACGAAGAAGAAGAAAAAGAAAAAGAAGAGAAAGAAAAAGAAGAAAAAGAAAAAGAAGAAGAAGAAAAAGAAGAAGGCACAATGTTTATTTCGTTTTAATAATCTATTTTCCCGATATTCCATGTATTTTCACACATATACATAAAGCATACACGTACACACTTATACATGTTGAGCTGAAAAAGAGAGTCTAGCGTAGAATGATAGTTAACACACTGATAAATTCTATTATCATATGTGGTCCATTATCGTGACCTTGTACCAGGTTAAGCTTTTTTAAATACCATATTGCGCCAGGACGTAGAAGATCGAGACTCTTCCTTTAATAGGTGGGAACTGCCAAAACTTATTAGGTTAACTTCTCAACAGTTTTGAATTCATAGTTTTTCTTTCAATTAGACTGGTTGCCAACCCCAACTCAAAGAAACAGGTTAGATTGGACTGCTGTTTAAATAGGAAATAATAAAACTCAATTTTTATTCTTTTGTGTATCATGTCCCTTCAGAACATGAACGATCAAGGCAACTTCTTTTTCTTTATAAATCTAAGCATTGAGCGAGTCTTTACATTTAAATCTCAGGAATGTTTTATTTTCCAATTGCGATCAGTACATTTAATAAATAAAACAATCCTATAAATCTAGATACATACATTGGAAAATCCATACATTTAGCTAAAAGTAAAAATAAAATCCACCTTAATAATAGCTAAAAGAAGAGCCGAAAGTCCTCGGATATACGGAACATTAAGACAATTTCTACATAATTTATGTCCAGAAAAGAAATTATAAGAAGACAAGAAAAATGAAAAAAAAAAACAAAAAAAAAACATAAGTTGTCAGTCGTTTTTTTTAAAAAAAAAACTTGTATAAAAGAAGGATTGCTGCCCAAATACACAATTATACATAGTACA